ATGGCCCATGGGCTCCAGCACCCAGTCAGCCCTGAGGAAGGCAGAACGGGGTGCAGACCCCAGGCAGGTAGGGCTCTGCAGGAAGTGTAAAATGTCTGCGGGGAAACGCATGAGCCACTTGTCTCTCGCTGCAGGGGCGCTTCTGGCTTCTAACACATTTCCTTTAGAAGGAGACTCCTCTGACTGCTTCCCTGCCGGTTCGGTTTCCGAGCAGGAAAGGCTCCCTGTGTCTGTTTCCCCCTGGCCATGTGTCATGTGTTGTGGAGCCGCGAGCAGCAGGGCCTGGGCATGGCGGCTTAGAATCCGAGAAGAGAAATAAGATCTTTGTGAAAGCCACCTGGAGCTCGTCCCGCTCCTGTGAGAGCCAGGAGGGGAGGGAGAGAATGGGTCCTGGCCCCTAGGAGGGCCCCATGGCCCTGCGGCCGCTGGCCACACTCACTTATGATGCTTGTCACCCTGGCTGCTCGCAGCCCGCAGTCTGAGTGCGGGGCGATGCTGGCCGAGCCCCGGCTCCTTTGCCAGCCCCGCCCTAGGGCTGACAAGCCGGGCTGGGGGCCGCACCCCACGGACCCGTGTTCCTGGTGGCCTCCCAGCCGACCCTTCTCAGAGAGCCGGGCGGCAGCTCCCCCCGCACGCGCGCTGGGCATGCGCGGGCAGTAGGCAAGTGGGGCTGAGAAAGTGCCCCCAGGCCACACCAAAGCGCACAGACACCAGCTGTGGGGGGTTCCTGCTGGAGCTGGTTCCCGTGCTCTGCGCAGTCTGCTTGCTTCCCAAGGATGATGACGACGACACACTAGCATGGGGGCAGGGGCCAGGGGTAGCCCCGAGCCTGGGAGACGAGACAGCGCCTTTCAGACCCAGCCAAGGTCGGGGTCTCCAGGAATCTCCCCGGCCCCTCGAGGGGCTGAGTGAAACCCAGGGGGTCTGCCGGTGGAAGAAACCTAGCCTGGGGTTGGAAGCCCCACAGGAGGAAGTGGGCCTCGAGCGGTCTCAAAGATGGGGATGGGCAGATTTGGGGGCCTGAAAGCCAGGGAGAGCTGTGTGTAGTCAGAGCTGTGTGCACTTGCCCTGGGCACGAAAACACCTTCCCCACCGCCGCCGGATGCCTGGCCTGGGGGCAGGGGGGGACTTCAGTCAAGGTCCCCCGCCTTGAGTAGGGGAGGGGCCTGAGCGCCTCCCAAGGCTGCCCTTCAGCCATCGCCCAGATCCCTGCTCAGAACAAACCACCCACCACGGACGGACCCCCCACAGGCACACCGGCTCACAGTCGCTGTCACATGGGGAAGGCGTGATCTATATAATAAACTCCTGTTACTTCCAGACCCCAGGAGGAAGACTGGCTTGTAGATTAATTGTATTTAGATTCTGTGACTTTTCTTTTTCTAATCGAGGGGTACAAGTTGCCGAAGATCACATGGTCTTCAGTTGGTGGCAGACCGCGGGCCTACGTGATGACAAAGAGTGCCGGGCAGACCAGGGTTGGGGTTTGGCTTGAATCGGCAGCTTCCCGGGCTGAGTCCCTTGTCCAGAACTTGCTCCAAATTATCATGGCAAAGGCCTCCAGCAGTTGTCTCGTTCAGACTGCTGGTTTCTCTCCCGAAGCCCCTCACCGTCTTGCTGACCACACGCCGGCTCCCAGTGGAACGGCTGTTTCCCAGGGGGCATCGCCGCCAGGCCTCTCCGACCTGCCGGCTTGGAGCTGTGGCTCAACACCGGCACGTCCAAAGCCGAGCCCTGACTGACCCTCCAGCCCCCGCGCCTCCCACCGTCCTCTGCTGCTCACCCCCGCTTCCCATCCTTCTCCCAGTCCCGCCACCTCCAGATGCTCTTGACCTCACCCTCAGAACCATCCCGAATCAGACCACTTCTCCTTCCCCCACCAACTCTCCTGTGGAGTCTCATGGCCACCACCTAGTGATCCCTTGGCTGCTGCCCTCCCCGAGCTTCCAGGCCCTTCTCACAGCAGTGGCCAGAGTGATTCTACTGAAACCAAAGTCAGATCATGGCACCTCTCTGTTTAGAAGCCTCCAGGTCCCCCATCACACTCCAAGTAGAAGCCAGCATCCTCCAAACAGCCTCCAGGGCCCTGCCCCTGCCCCTGTCCCCTCCTTCCCCTCCCCTCCTCCTTCTCTCACAGGCCCTCTTACTGTTCCTCCAACATACCAGGCCCAGTGCTACCCCAGGGCCTTTGCACAGGCTGTACCCTCTGCCTAGAATGCTTCCCCATGGCTCCCTCCCTCAGCTCCATCATGATGTGACATTGGTCACCTGAATCAGCTTCCTCTCTGTTGCAAAAGGGGGAGAAAGTGTAACTGATTGTTCTGGGGGCTGCTAGAGGTGTCTGCTCTCCCCAGAGTTCCTTTTGCTTGGGAGATAACCGCGCATCATTGATGTCAATGCCAGCATAATTCCCCAAGTGAAGAGATCCATTTTTTATTTCAACAACATGGGGCTGGGGGATGGTGATAAGCCGAAGTGATCGTTCTTCCCCAACACTTCCTCATACCTGTGAGCCGGTCCTGTTGAGGGTCCCTTCCAGCACACGACCCACGGAATCTGACCTCACCCTTCTCGCCTGAAAGTCCATATTCCTCTCCCGCTCCCAGAGGATTCCCTAAGAAGCGGCGCTCTGTGCTCCCTGGGGGGTTAGGGAGGCAGAGAGAGAAAGACTCCAGCTTCTGCACCCTGACCGTGGTCTTCCTGCGTGCTGGGGGCCCCTCGGTGCTTCAGGACCCCTTCTCTTGGTCCGTTGCACTTCCTGGGGGTGCAAACCTGGGCAGACCCAGTTCCATTGCTACCTGCGTGGGGTTCTTATTCTGGTAGGGGAGACAAGCAATAAATTTATCTCTGAAGAAAAACCCTGGGGCTCAAAGGACCGCCTCAAATACCAGCCCTTCCTCAGCTGGATCCCAACCTGCCAATAAGAGAGGTGGCAGCCAGGGAGCCCAGTTACCCCTGTGCCTTGTTGCTGGGGGGGCAGCTTCCTGGCACCGATGGGGCTGTGCTCACCCCTCCACACCCTCCAGATGCCCCCCCCCGTCCTACTGTCCCGCAGCCTCCCAGAGCCCAGTGGGCAGGGGTGCTCAGGGAGGGGAGGAAGGGGCACCCCGAGAGTCCGAGGGCAATGCCACGCTGATGTCACAGCGAAGGCTTCAGCTTCCAGCAGCGAGGGGAGAGCGGTCAGGGGCCAGGGAGGACCAAGGAGGCGGCTCCGGGGCCCGGGCGAGACTTTGGAGAGGAAGGGGCGGCAGAAGGAGCACACTCCTGGAGCACCTTGTGGCTCCCTATCCTAACTGCCCGCAGGGGCCCCCCACACCCGCCTCTCGCTCGGCCTGCGCTGGAGCAGGAAGGCCCGGGGCTGAAATGAAGGGATGCCAGGCCTTCGCCTGAAGATAGCCCGAGACGGCCAGGAGGCGCCAGGTGGGGCTTAGAGGAACCAAACTTGGCCCTGAGCTGTCAACTGTAGACACAGGCATCCCTTACTCTGCTCTTGCCACCTCTGTGCCTATTAGAACCTTCCCGTAGTAAAACTATCCTTTAAAGGGGAGACTCCAGCCCAGCCCCCAGCGTGTGTGCTGGGTCTGGACAGGGCCAGTGGCCCAAGGTCGGCTGGGGCTAAGCTGTCCCTGGACTGATGCTCACTTTAGAGGTCTAGAAGGGCGTGGAACGTGTGCGACGTGCCGCCCCCCCCCCCGGGTCGACAGAGGACAGGGAGCCCCTCGCAGCTCGTGGCTTAGGCAGCCCTCCCCACCCCTGACCAACCTTCCCGCACAGGATCGGGCCTCAGGCCTAGGGCCTACGCACGTGGCTCCCGCCGTTCTCCAAATCCCCAGCACGGGTCGGGGCTTTGGTGTTCACACCTCAGACATCCCCTGATCAGGGAACAGACACACACTGCTCTGGGGGGGTCCGGGCAGGTGGGCCTCCTCTGTGCCGCTGCCCGGTGTGGGGGCTTGACTGTATGGACGGCTCCTGCCCTTCTGACCCGATGCTGAGCTCTGGGGGGGGGAGTGGGGGAGGGTGGGCAGCGGCTTGGCTGCCTTCCAGCCTGGGCACAGAACCTGACACAGAAGCCTCTTCAGTCCTGTGTCCCGTTTCTGCTTCCAGCCTCTCTCTGCGTCAGGGACATGAGGATAGGTCAGTCCACCTCTGTCTGCCGCCCTGTCTTTTGTTGTTTCAGAAGGAAAAAGAAAAAGCTTTCCTGAGAGAAAACACACCACACATTCCAGAATGTATGGTCCGGGCCACTCAGTCACCCCACCAGCCGTGGGAACACAGACCTCTCAGCCGGCACACATGTCCTACCTCAGGGAGGAAGGGCAGCCGCTCACATCGGGTCTGAGAGCGCTAGGAAGAAGGGCAGGAGGAAGGGGTGTCTAGGAATTCTCAGCCTGTTCTAGTAGAATCCGGCTGCCGCAGAGTGCAGAATTCCTGGTTGGGGCCAAAGATAGTATCACAAGCAATAGGGCAAGAATTCAACCAGGACTTTCATATTCAGTGACCAGCGATGAAACAGGTGGCCGAGCTCCAGCCATCTTAATCTTTAGATGAATGATTTGTCCCTCAATCACAAGATATTAGAAGGTGGACACACTCCAAAGGCCCACGTCGCCCCCTTCAGTGCCGGGGGCAGTGCTCATGGGTCCGCGGAACTTTCTTCAATCCTCCTCTCTGTCTTGACATTCCTGTAAGTTTAAGAGACATGTTGTATCTAAATGATTAGGAAACACACCCAAGAGGTCTCAGTCCCTTGCAGGTTTTTATAAATTAAGTCAAGGAATCTGAAAATCAGGCTGAACATTGAAGGAATAAATACAGGAGCGGAGAGAAGCTATTAACTCATGTGCCCAGAATCTCTCCTATCCAGATTGGTGACAGTGGCTGTGAATTTCCTCTTCATGTTAATGGAGAGAAAGTATGCGCTTCTCTTAATGAGTCCACGTTAGCCTTTCAGCATTTGGGGGATCCTGACGAATGGGAGCATATCTTTCTTTGTCCAGCTCCAGTGGCTGTTGGATAACTATGAAACCGCAGAAGGCGTGAGTCTCCCCAGAAGCTCACTCTACAACCATTACCTTCGGCACTGCCAGGAGCACAAGCTGGACCCTGTGAATGCCGCCTCCTTCGGGAAGCTGATCCGCTCCGTGTTCATGGGCCTGCGGACGCGGCGGCTGGGCACCAGGTGGGTACATGGGGGTGCCCGGGAGCCCACGCCCACCCATTCTCCTGTGTCCTCTATGCAGATATAGAGCTTTTGGAGAAGGTGGTCCTTCTCCTTCTGTCCACATGCCTCTGGGTGGACTTGGAGTTGTTCTGAATTGGCGGCAGCACGGGCCTGACCGGTCCAAGGCGTTGGCTGTGGGCCATCTCTCTCCTGGTGACTTTGCTTCAGCACTCTCTCTTTGTTTAAAATTCTCCATGATAACAGGTTTTCTTAAAAAGCAGCCTCTGGATTATCACGTAGAGTTGGATTTATGATTTTTTGATGCTTTCTGCTCTGCCTAGACCAATCCACCACAGCCCACCCTTGGTCTGCAGCAGCCAGGGACTGTCACATACCACAGACCTAATCCCAGGCAGGAAGCAAATGCTCCTCCCATTAGAAAACAGCAGCCATACTCCATTCAAAGTGGGTGGGCTAAAGCACACAGAAGGCACTTCCTGCATGGCTGCTGTCTGTGAGGTCACACGTGGGGGTGGGGGGTCACTCACACACCCTCAGAAACTGGTGTGGGGCCAACAGAATGTTCTCTGCCACCCTCTGATCCTTTACAGAGAGCATCAATGGATAGAGGAGAGAAGGATGGGGAGCCCCTGGTCTCCGGGGCCATAGCCACCACTCCTTTGAGGCCTCTCCAGAAGGCTCATGCATGGCCCACACTGTCAGAGTGTCCCAGGTGCTGGCCTCAGGATTGGGGCTTTTCTGCCCCCTGCTTTTCCTCCTCCTGGCACCAGCCAAGCTTCTACCTCATCCAGATAGGACCCATGCTCACCCACTTGTCCCTATTGTCAGACACGTCTGTCCTTCAGTACTTCTCTCCTAAGGAGCCCTTCTGACCTACTTCTTAACCAAATTGTCTAAAGCCCTTTGATCATTCATTTCTCCCACAATAAGCTGATAGTGTTTCCCAAAGTTTGCCATTTTCCAGATCATGTTGTTAGACGGATTGGGGGCAGGAGATGATGATGATGATGATGGTGGTGGTGGTGACAGTGGTGATGGTGAAGATGGTGATGATGGGATAGTGGTGACAGTGAATGGCGATGATGGTGATGGCGATGATGGTGATGGCAATGGTGAAGATGGTGATGATGGGATAGTGGTGACAGTGACGATGGTGATGTTGGTGATGGCGATGATGGTGATGGCGATGATGGTGATGGCGATGATGGTGATGGCGATGATGGCGATGGCGATGATGGTGATGGCGATGATGGTGATGGCGATGATGGTGATGGCGATGATGGTGATGGCTATGGTGGAGATGGTGATGATGGGATAGTGGTGACAGTGACGATGGTGATGTTTGGTGATGGCGATGATGGTGATGGCTATGGTGGAGATGGTGATGATGGGATAGTGGTGACAGTGACGATGGTGATGTTGGTGATGGTGATGATGGTGATGGCAATGGTGAAGATGGCGATGATGGCGATGGCGATGATGGTGATGGCGATGGTGAAGATGGTGATGATGATGGTGATTGTGTCAACGGTGGTGGTGATGGTGATGGTATAATGATGATGATAACGAAGGTGGTGATGGTGACGGTGATGATAATGGTGAAGATGGTGATGATGGGACAGTGATGACGGTGATGATGGCGCTGTTGGTGATGGTGGTGGTGGTAGTAACGGTGGTGATGGCAGTGATGATGGTGATGTGATGGCAATGACGGGATGGTGATGGCAGTGATGATGGTGGTGGTGATACGACCGTGATGACGGGAGAGTGATGATGGTGATGACTGGCGATGGTGATGGTGGTAACAGTGATGACGGTGATGCTGCCAATGGTGATGATGGTGGTGATGGCGATGGTGAAGATGGGGATGATCTGGCGATTGTGTGAGTGGTGGGCCGTGATGGTAATGGTATGATGACGATAATGACGGCGACGATGGTGATGATGCTGGTGGTGAGGCCGTGCCCGATTACAAACCGGACCGCTTTTCCCATTGCAAGACTTCCCAGAGCCTTTATAGTACTGAAATCCAAGGGGCAGTCTCCAAGAGGGGGTGCCAAGTACAGAATCTCCTAACCTCTCTGATCATGGAACAGCCCGTGAACATTTCCCGCATGGTCCAGGGAACACTGAACCTGAGCACCCAAAAGGAAGGGCCAAGACAGAGCCCTTGTCTTGTCATTCAGAACATCTGCAAAGAGAGCTGACCCTGAGATGCTTGGTTTCTAGGGGCAACTCCAAGTATCATTACTATGGGATCCGCCTGAAGCCAGACTCGCCCTTGAACCGGCTGCAGGAGGACACCCAGTACATGGCCATGCGGCAGCAGCCCATGCATCAAAAGCCAAGGTGGGTGACCTGGGCCCAAAGGCAGCCTGAGAACCAGCTTTCCTGCCCAAGCAAGGGTCAGGTCTGAGTTTCACTTGGGAGAACATACAGAGAAGTGTCTCTCAAACATTAAATACACGGGTAGGAGGGGACTCTCCAAATTGTGATGGAAAAAATAGATTCATATGAGCCTGTCTCCAATGTCCTGGGAGAGCCAAGCCAAAGGAGGCTGGGGACACAACCTCGTCCAGCTAACAGAGCCTTCAGATCTTTCTCTTTAAAAAAAAAAAAAATACGGGACGCCTGGGTGGCTCAGTTGGTTAAGCAGCTGCCTTCGGCTCAGGTCATGATCCCAGGGTCCTGGGATCGAGTCCCACATCGGGCTCCTTGCTCATCAGGGAGCCTGCTTCTCCCTCTGCCTCTGCCTGCCATTCTGTCTGCCTGTGCTTGCTCTCTCTCCCTCTCTCTCTCTGACAAATAAAAAAAAAAAAAAAAAAAAAAATGTCTATTTTTGGGGGGCGCCTGGGTGGCTCAGTGGGTTGGGCCTCTGCCTTCGGCTCGGGTCATGATCTCGGGGTCCTGGGATGGAGTCCCACGTTGAGCTCTCTGCTCAGCGGGGAGCCTGCTTCCCGCCCCCCGCCTGCCTCTCTGCCTACTTGTGACCTCTCTCTGTGTCAAATAAACAAATAAAATCTTTAAAAAAATAATGTATTTTTTTTTAAAGATTTTATTTAATTATTTGTCAGAGAGAGAGAGGGAGAGAGAGCAAGCACAGGCAGACAGAATGGCAGGCAGAGGCAGAGGGAGAAGCAGGCTCCCTGATGAGCAAGGAGCCCGATGTGGGACTCGATCCCAGGACCCTGGGATCATGACCTGAGCCGAAGGCAGCTGCTTAACCAACTGAGCCACCCAGGCGTCCCTCTAGACATTTTTTAGAATGGTTTTAGGTTGCCAGCAAAATTGGGTAGAAAGTGCAGTTTTCCATATACCCACTGTGCTCACATGCGCAGTGCACCCGCCATCAACGTGGCACCAAAGCTGTGCATTGGTTACAGCTGGCAAGCTGACATCGACACTCCATTATCACCTCAAGTCCGAACTTGACATTAGGGGTCAGTCTGGGAGCTCCGTTCCAGTGGGTTTGTACAAACGTAGAATGACATGTCTCCGGGATTACAGATCACACAGAGTAGTTCCGCTGCCCTGAAAATGCTCCGTGTCCTGCCCATTCATCCTTCTCTCCTCCCCTCGACCTCCGGCAGCCACTGACCTTTCTGCTGCCCCCAGAGTTTTGCCTTTTCCAGAATACCATAGAGCTGGAATCCTGGATCTTCAATTTTCAACTATGGTGGGGGGCAGGGGGTGGGGAAGAGGTAACACTGAAACCAACCCAAGAAGCCTGGAGAAGGAAGCTTATCTACTTAAGTTGCTGCTCCTTCCTGACATTTGGATCCAATGGCTGAAAAGTCCTGGTCATTTTCTGGAATGTTCTCTCCTCTATCCATCGCACACTGACTCATCTTTTTTTTTTTTTTTTTTTTAAAGATTTTATTTATTTATTTGACAGACAGAGATCACAGGCAGGCAGAGAGGCAGGCAGAGAGGCAGGCAGAGAGAGGAAGGGAAGCAGGCTCCCTGCTGAGCAGAGAGCCTGATGTGGGGCTCGATCCCAGGACCCTGGGACCATGACCTGAGCCGAAGGCAGAGGCTTTAACCCGCTGAGCCACCCAGGCACCCCCTGACTCATCTTTTAAGGCAGGGCTCAGCAAACCTTTCTGTAAAGGGCCAGAGAGCAAATATCTTAGGCTTTGCAGGCCAGACATTCTGTCCAGACTACTCAGCCCTGCCGTCGTAGCATGAAGCCAGCACAGGTGATACAGAGACCAGTGGGCATGGCTGTGTGCCAATAAAACTTTATGCACAAAACAAGGAGCAGCACCAGCCCTCCACAGCTGTGGTCTGCAGGCCCCTGGTTCAGGGCCCCCCTCAAACGCCACGTCCCTGGCCGTCCTGCAGCCACGCCTCCTTCCCTGCTTCCCTCTGTCCCTTGCTCCTCTCTGGAGTCCAGACTGTTCCATGCGGCCCCTTCGTAACTTGGCCCATCCGTGTGTGGCTCAGACCCCATTTTAGCCGCTCTAAGGCCATCCCAGTGACTCCAAACCTCATATCCAATCGCGGGAGTTGGAGGTCACAGAAGACAGTCTCCAGAACATTCTCCAGTAGCCAACACGAGAGTGGAACCAACAGGCCATCCTGAAGCTGCTGGTGCACAGACGTGGTCCCTGTAGCGGCTGCTTGGTGTTAGCGTCAGGCCCCCCCCAAACACCGCGACTCAGCGCACCAGCAGAGCGCTACCTCGGGAGCAGCGATACGTCTCACGGCGACGGGCTTGTGCCCTTTACACTTGTAACCCCCACCCGTGTCTGGCGCTCCACACCTGTCTGAGAGACTTCTGTCCGTCCTCATGGGAAGCCTGGCCCCACTTTCCACAAGGAAGGGCGCTCCCCGCCGGAGTCGGGCGCCCCTGCTCTCCCCACCACACGCCGTCACCACCCCGCAGCCGTCCGCTGGGCTCAAGGCACCCCGGGCCCCCAGGGAGCCCTTTTCTGTGAGTGTCGCCCGTTTGCTGCGAGGACAGCGGTTTTCTGGCTCTGCTTTTGCTCAGGGCAAAATGAAAATCCCAGAATTTCCTTTGAGACCATCGAATAGTAAGATACTTGTGAAGTTCACTTACCTTCTGAGGGAGAAGTATTAGGGGAAAAAGGATACACACACCCCCACACACAAGCAACCCCGAGTATCCGTCAGCGGCTGGTTGGATAAGCAAATGTGTCCGTCCATCCAGACAATGGAATGTTACTCAGTTTTAAAAAGGAAGGACCTCTGACATCTGCCACCACACGAAGGGACCCCAAGGACACCGGGCTTGTCAAGAGGAGCCAGACCCAGAAGGACCCATCCCGCAGGACCCCACTCCCAGGAGGGCCCCAAAGGAGTCCCGTCCCCAGAGATAGGAGAGGGCGGGAGCTGGGGGTGGGGTGGGGGGAGTCCATGCTTCATGGGGACAGAGTCTCCATTTAGGGAGATGGAAAGTTCTGGAGATGGAGGCTGGGGGTGACTGCAGGACAGTTGTGAGCGTGCTTCATGCCACAGAGCTGTGCGCTTAGAGACGGTTACGATGGTGAATTTCATGTTGTGTGTATTTTAGCACAAGTTTTTAAACACTACACACACACACACATGCACACACAGCCCAAACTGAACCCCGCTCGGCTCTCTGCTCCTTAAGCCCCTTAGGGCTGCACAGCCGGGGCCTCATGGTGGCACCGTGTCCCTTGCCCAGGTACCGGCCAGCCCAGAAGACGGACGGCCTTGGGGACAGCGGCTCGCACGGCAGCCCGCACGGCACGCCAGAGCAGGCCATGGCCGCGCAGAGCCTGCACCACCAGCAGTACCTCGGTGAGTGCCCCCCACCCCGTGGACGGGGCCGGCCGGGAAAGCGGGGTCCGCTCAGCTCTGGCGGCGCCAGCCACCTCTGCAGGGCTGCTCTGAACGACCAGCCTGCAGAATCTCTCTCTAATTACGCAGACGTGTTCTAGGTCAACCTTCAGGGCATTCCCCAAGATTGCAGAAGAGTCAGCAGGTGCCCCCAGAATGAGTGTGTACAAAATGACCATCAGAAAAAGAAGCAAAGAAAAGGAAATGCCCATTGGAAAGAAGACTAGATGTATTTTAAAACCTGTTGCCTGGGGACTTGGCTGCCCCCCTCGGTTCTCTTCCCGAGGTCCCTGGAGCATTTAGGGTGCTCAGGATTCCTTACAACTGGCTCTGCGTCCTGGTGGCCTGACCCACAGCTGCCTGGCCCTTCCCTGCGAGACCCCCTCCCCTGCCGGCCCCACACCTGACTCTCAGCTCGTGCCCAGGGAGGCTTGCTGAGGCCTTGATCACAGACACACACACCGAAGGTGGCTGTGGTCTTTGGGTATATTTAGTGAGTTTTTCGAGCCCAGAGAGAGCCCCTAAGGGAAGCAACTTGAGACAGCCACAGCCGGCCCCTCCCCAGACTCGCTGCCCTGGGTGGCCCCCAGGCTGGGGTGATGGGAGCGCCCGTGGAGTGCGGGACCTGGGCTCAGGGCTCATCTGTGTCAGTGTATTCACTGTCCCCGGGAGATGACAGTGTTGTCCCCTATTCTGTCCCTGAAAAAAAACCAAAGCTTCAAAGTTGTCAGACCCAGGGCTGGGGTGGTGGGGATCACTGGCAACCCCGACCCGAATCCCCCAGCACCTGCGCCCGCTGCCTGTGGCCCTTCTGCAGCTCTGCGACCCCATTTTCCTCCCAGATGTGTCTCACGTCTTCCCGGAGTTCCCGGCGCCCGACCTGGGCGGCATCCTGCTGCAGGAAAGCATCTCGCCGCACGACGTCAAGGCCCTGCAGCTGCTCTACCGGCGGCACTGCGAGGTGACCACCGGGGGGACCCTGAGCCTGGGCCCCGGGGTGGGGGTAGGGCCGGGTGGAGCGCAGAGCGAGCCTCCCACCCCGCCCCAGTGGGGCGCATCAGCCTCCCACGTCGCCAGCACCGCCAAACTCTCAGACCATCAGGTGTCCCTGGGTGACCCCAAGGAGGTGGGAGCGGCCCCCTGCTTCTTCTTATGGAGTCGCTCCTGACTTCAAAGCACCCCACTGCTCCTGTCATAGCTGCCTGCTTGGCATGTCCCGACGACACGTGATGGGCCACTTTAACACGCACATCCGTGAGGTCGACGGGCTGTGTTTATTCACAGGCAACGTTGGACGTCGTGGTGAACCTCCAGTTTCACTACATTGAGAAGCTGTGGCTTTCCTTCTGGAACTCGAAAGCCTCCTCAGGTGATGGCCCTGCCTCTCTACCTGCCAGGTAACAACCTTCGTCGCCCCCCCTGCCCCCCTCCCCCGTCCCCAGGGAGCGCTCTGCCTCCTTTCCCAGGACCCCAGGGCTAACCTGCAGGCTGGGGACACCCACATGGTGACCCACAGACACATGGGTCCCTTTCCCAGAACTGGCGCTCAGAACCCCCCCGCCCCCATGTGTGTGGGGGGGGGGGGTTCCATGCTATGTGTTCCCCATCCCCTTGCTTCCGCATGAGGGACCATAGAGGGAACCCCGTGCCGTCCCAAACAGAGGACGTGTCATCCTCTGGCCACAAGCAGGGAGGTGGGCAGCGCGGGCCCACCAGGGAATTGGAGGCGGGGAGGGGGTCCATCCCGGGGGCCCTCTGCCACCCTGCAGGCTGCGGCTCACCCCGGCTCTCCCATTCCCCACAGCGATGGGGAGCCCGAAGGCGCCGTCCTCCCAAAGGACAAGCTGGTGTCTCTGTGTAAATGCGAGCCCATTCTCAAGTGGATGAGGGACTGCGACCACATCCTGTACCAGGCCCTGGTGGAGATCCTCATCCCCGACGTGCTGCGGCCGGTGCCCAGTAAGCAGGGCTGCTGCTCTCTCCGCTGCCCCTGTGCTTTCCTTGCCCCCCACCCCCGGGAATGAGGCTGCAGGGAGGCCTGCCACCCTCGGGTTGCCGCCCGCCCGTGCTGGCTCGGTGCTGCGGGGCTCCCAGTGACATGCCAGCCTCTGAGTGCCTCTGGGGCCCGGGATGCCCTGCAGGAGATCCCTAGAGGGTGGGCGGAGGTCACAGAATAGCCCTACCCCTGTCGGCAGGGTTGCTGAAAGCCCTGGAGAAGGTCTCGATCCACTGTGCCCCTCTGCCCCCCAGGACCACCTGTGGGCCCCTCCCCCAGCAGTGACACGCACCCCCTTCCCCCCATGGGGCACACCCTGCCAGCCCCTTACAGGCTTTCCCTTGGGCCCCCAGGCTCCTGAGGAACCTAGGCCCTGAGGCCTCGCTCTTGATGAAAGACTGAGGGGTGGGGAGTGGCCCGTGGGTACACGCGGTGGGGCCCTGTCGATATTTGCGCCCGTGGGCACGACAGAAACTTCGGACTTTCTTGATGAACCGGTGTGCTGCTTTTGGAACAGAAAATGGGAAACAGCCAAACAATCGCGTTTCTCCTTCGGGCTTGCCTGCCGGACACTGCTGACGGCGGCGCTTGTTAGAGTCTCTGTGTTAACGTTTGAGTCGGGGTAGATTTATTTTCACATTTTTGAAGTTTTTTTCTTTTTAAACAGTCCGATTTGTTTCTTATTTGCAAGCCGCCTCACAGTAAATTTGGAAGTTGGTGGAGGATATGTATGTGCATGTGTGTGGATCGGGGCTTCCCTGGAATGGGGGGGCGTCCTGGGCACTCTGGGGGTTTGAGCCTGGCCCGCTCCATGCCGGGAGCTCCCCGCATTGTTGTGCCGGCCACAGATGTCTGCGCACATCCCCCAGCATCCCCTGGGGGCAGAGTCACGCTGGGTGAGGAAATCACGAAGGCAGGAGGGAGAGGAACGGAGATGAAGGCCCCAGGCGGCCCCCAGTCCTTACCCAGCGCCTCCCTCAGTAAATGCCCGAAGTTCTGCCGGGTCCTGCGTCCGTCCCTCGTCCCTCTTCTTCCCTTGCTCTAACGGCTTCACTGCACCTGCACCTCTTATGTTCCCACTGATCCTGACCAGGATCAAGACCCTTTCCCACTGTAACTATCGCGGCTTGTGTCTCCCAGGTACCTTGACACAGGCCATCCGTAATTTTGCCAAGAGCTTGGAAGGCTGGCTGACGAACGCCATGAGAGACTTCCCGCAGCAGGTCATCCAGACCAAGGTAACCGCTGGGCTCTGCCCAGGGGCTGGGAAGGGCTCCAGGAGGGGCTCTGCCCCAGGCAAAGCAGGCCGCCCCCGAGGGTCCTGAGGCCCATGAGTCCCCCCCCCCACCCCGCCCAGGAAGCCTCCTGGATGCTGGTGCTGTGGGACGGACACCAGCAGGGAGGGGCACGACGGAAGCTGTCATTTGCTGTGACGCATTTGGGTGGACACATGGAATGTCCCTGTGCGCCTCATAGGAGGGAGGGCTTAACCTCGCTGGCGCCCTTCCTGCAACAGTCGTGCCACAAAGCAGAATTTAAAATGTGCAGAGTGGGCCTCCATGCACGGGAGAGCGTGACCACTGCTCATGCACGGGAGAGCATGACCGCTGCTCTCGCACGCGTCTCTTAGAGACCTGTGTACAGGTGAGGCCACGTTCCGAGCATCGGGTCTCCCTGACCGCAGTCTGGAAGGGTCTGTTAGTCCACTGACTCTCAAGAGAGCCGAAGGAATTCTAGGAATAGCAGCATAAGCACCCTGTCCTGAGGGCCACCTCACTGAGGCTATGGCATCTGCTCTAGATGCCGAGACGCCTCGGTGAGGTTCGTATCCTCCGTTTAGTCTCACTCTTGGGTCCTGAGACTGTGGGAAGGGTGGGTCCCTCTGCTCCCTCCCCTCCACACTGTCCTGGAGCCCAGGCGCCCTCCTGAGGGAAGAGAGAACCGGAGCTCTCACCACCCCCCCACCTCACCTCTGCACCTCCTGCCCCTCCCCCGGCCACAGGTGGGCGTGGTCAGCGCCTTCGCCCAGACCCTGCGCAGGTACACGTCCCTCAACCACCTGGCGCAGGCGGCGCGCGCTGTGCTGCAGAACACCTCCCAGATCAACCAGATGCTCAGCGACCTCAACCGCGTGGACTTCGCCAACGTGCAGGTGACTTTCTCCAACACCATCCCCCACCGCCTGGGATGGAGCCCGGGGACCCAGCTGTCGATCAGCGACGCCGTGTGTGTGTGTGTGTGTGTGTGTGTGTGTGTGTGTGTGTGTGTGTGTCTCTCTCTCTCTCTCTCTCTCTCTCCCATCCCGCTGGCCTCGCCTTCCAGCCTCCAGAAAAATGCTCAAAACCATAAAACGCAACCAGCAGCAAAACCTGGTGGGTGTGAGAACAGGGTCAGGGCGGAAGCCCCCTGCAGCCCACCCAGGGGCCCCGGGCCTCCAGGAGCTAGGACCCACACCCTGGTCCGCCCTCTTTAAGAATCTACCTTCCTGCTGCCGTCTTCACAGCTGTCTCGTCTGGGCTCTGAAAGTACAGGCTGTGCTCGTGCGCGTCCTGCCACAGCGATCCTGGCGCCGAGTTCACCCACTAAATAAACACATACACTTTTAGAAAAAGGAGCATTCAAAGTAAAACACCGCAAACGCACCGTGTGTAATCTGAGCTCTGGCCCCGGGAAGCCTGGGTTTACACGCTGAGAACCAGGGCGGGCTCCGTCTCTGGCCGCCGGTTGGGTGCGGGGGGCCCACCCTGACCTGCCGTCCACGCCCCGCAGGAGCAGGCCTCGTGGGTGTGCCAGTGTGAGGAGAGCGTGGTGCAGCGGCTGGAGCAGGACTTCAAGCTCACCCTGCAGCAGCAGAGCTCCCTGGACCAGTGGGCCACCTGGCTAGACAGTGTGGTCACCCAGGTCCTGAAGGAGCATGCCGGCAGCCCCAGCTTCCCCAAGGCTGCCCGCCAGTTCCTTCTGAAATGGTCCTTTTACAGGTAAGTCCGCCTCGGTTTCCAGGAGAACTCGGGGAAGGCACAGTGAGCGGACGGATGCGCATCCGGCCTGCGACTTTTCCTTCCAAACCTGCGCTCTCCCCTGGCTGATGTGAGGCGTCAGGAGAAGGGGGCTGACGTGGCCTTAATCACCAGGCCATAGCTCCCAGGGCCAGGGAGGGGAGCAGGCGGAAAGACCACCGCCCCCCCCCCGGGGACCCCAAATCCAAGTTGGCTTGTTTACCTTCAGGGGGCTTGGCCATACAAAGCCAAGAAGCTTCTGAGCAGAAAACATCCCAAATCCCAAGCCGTTCCGCCCTGTCCACTGACTCGGCCTCTGGGTCTGCACCCGTTCAAGCAACCTTTGCCCCCCACGTGCTGGGCTGTCCACGGCCTTGGCTAAGCCGTCCCAGATCCACAGCCCGCTGAAGCCACCCGTCTCGCCCCGCTGCCAGAGTGCCGTCAGAGCGCCCGTGCACGCGGGCCCGGGGAGGCGTGCAAAGCCCTCAGTGGGACGGCCCCACCGCTCGCTCTTGTACACCGTGTCGTGCCCACACAAGCACAAAGCTTCAGGCCGTTAAAAAAAACAGGACAGGGCATGCTAACATTTTCAAAGTTGATTGGAGCAGACCCCAGGCTGCAGGTGGTCAGTGAGCGAGGGGAGAGGTGTTTGCAGAGAATTTGCAGGAGAAAAGCAAGGAACTGAGGTCACTGCCTTTAGCTTAAGCGCCACCGCAGCAGCGGGGGGAGCCTGGCCCTTCGCGGCTGGGGCTCGACAGCCACTCTCAGGAGCCCGCATGTCGGTCCCGGTTTGCTTGGGCCCCAGGGCATCGGGAGCCCCTGCTGTGCGGACCCCCTGCACAGAGGGCTCACACGTCTCCTCCCGGCCTTGTCCTCTCCTGGTTCTTTTGCTACCACGGCGACGAGTGGGGAAGCTCTGAGGGGGGCCGTCGGGAGTTGGGGTCGGGTGCCAAGGGATCTCATCCATCCCTTTAGATCAGGGGTTGCTTTTTCTGTGGAGAATCAGAGAGTACGTATTTCCAAGAAAGAAAGAAACTCGTCAGCACATGACATGTAAATGAACAGGCGTGGCCCATGTGCCAATAAAACTTTATTTCCAGAAACAAAGCTGTGGATTTCAGGCACTTTTCACGGGTCACGAAACATAAATCTGCGTTGGACTGTGTTTCCAACCATTTGAAACTGTAAAGCGCATTCATAGCTCACAGGCTGTAGAGGAATGGGCAGTGGGCTGGAGCCGGGCTGGATTTGGGGCCACAGCTTGCCAGCCTGGTTGCAGATGAAAGAGGTGAAAGTTCCCTGAAGTTCTGTCTTGTTTGGCACCTACACCCCTGACTGAGGAGTGAGGCTGGATGGGAGGGAATCTCAGGAGGGAAGGCCGGGAAGGGCTGCCTGCTGTGGGCAAGTCGTAAGGGCACCACGACTGACCACAGGCCATTGGCTAAAGCTTGTGTCAGAGACACGATGTCATGTGTCCACGGCCTCTCGCTGACAGCTGCTGCCCCACCTGCCTTTCCCACCCCCACGTGTCCCCACCGCAGTCACAAGGGACACGGGGTGGTCTGGGTGGCTCGTGAGTCCCGGGGGCCTCCTGAAAAGCCTGGCTCATCTGCCTGCCTATAACCCCGTGCTCCCCGGAAGGCCCCCCCAGCCTCTGTCTGCCCATCCCCCAGCTCCATGGTGATCCGTGACCTCACGCTGCGCAGCGCCGCCAGCTTCGGCTCCTTCCACCTGATCCGCCTGCTCTACGACGAGTACATGTTCTACCTGGTGGAGCACCGCGTCGCAGAGGCCACCGGAGAGACACCCATTGCCGTGATGGGAGAGGTGAGGGCCCTCCCGCCCTGGGGATCCCGGGACAGTATGGGCAGTGTGTGTGACACAGCGGACAGCCCAAAGAGAAGACCCTTGCCAGAGGCCCGTGGGTGGGAAAGAGCTCGCATGCTGGAGCCAACCGACCTGGGTTCGGACCTGTCCTATGCCACCGAGGGCGCTCCTGCTCCTGAAATGAGGCCTGGAACACCTGGCCCGTGGCGGGGGATCTCCTGTTGGAAAGTACATAGAAAGTGTACCATTCCGACCATTTTGAAGTGAATGATTCAGTGGCATTTAGTACATTCAGAGTTGTGCAACCACCACTTCTAATTCCAGAACATTCCATCACCCCAGAGGCAAACCCCACGCCTGTCAGTGGCCACCACCATCCCACGCCCCAGACGCTGGCACCCGCTACCTTCCTTCCTGCCAGGATCTGTCTATCGTGGGCATCCCACAGGGGTGGAGTCCCACATAGCATGGCCTTTCGTGCCTGGCATCTCTCACTCAACACAATCCTGTCACGGTGCAGCCGGCCGCGCTGTAGCGCGTATCTTTGCCTCACTCCTTCTGTGGCCCGCGAGGTTTCCTTGGGCGGCTGATCAGCATTTTGCTCTGCCCGTTCATATGCTGGTGAGCACACGGGCCGTTTACGGCTTTGGGCTGCTGTGACATTCTGGGCACACGTTCTTGTTTGAACACCTGTTTTCATCTCTTTCGGGCACATTCCTAGGAGTGGAATTGCTGGGTCGTGTGGGGTTGTTTTGAGGAAGAAATGAGGTGATGCTTAGAGAGCTTTTAGTGCGCAATAAGCCTGTCACCATGCAGAGGTCACAGTCCCTGTCCTCTTGGTGGCCTGCTTAGTGGGCACCACTCAACCCTCCAGCAGCTCCCAGGCAAGATCCAGAAGGTGCCAAGGGGGATACACTAGCCTCAGCGCCCCTTCTCCCGGGGGAAGCGAAGCCTGTGTTAACTGTGGATAAAGGACAGTGCTAACATTCACCAGGCCCAGGCCCCTTCGTGGAGGCCCCTGACTCCGGGCTTCTCTCTTTCAGTTCAATGATCTCGCCTCCCTATCGCTGACGCTGCTCGATAAAGGTGGGTGTGTCGTAGCTTTTCCAAGAGGCTCTCCCAGGGGCTCTTCTTCCCACCCTGGGCCTAGTTGAGATCAAGGCAGCTCCCGGGGTGGGTTGAGGGCCGTTAAGAGCTGCAGGTGAGGCCTCCCAGTGATGCTCATGCAGGCCTGGACCCTACTGGGGCTCAGAGGAGCCACCCTGTACCTCGCCCTCAGGTGGCTGCTTTGGGCCACCATCTAACCCTGCTCCCCAGGCACCCCCACTTCAGGCCCTGGGCTGCCTGCGTCCACCTGCCCCTACCCCAGCCCATTCCCTGCCCCACGCCGTAGGGGGCGCCAACTGCTGAGGGGGACCCTGCCAGGAGTGTGACCAGCAGACACACACTGGTCAAGGTTGGTCTCTGGGAAGAAGGCCTCCCTGGGCACTGCAGGGCAGCATCCATGCCTGTGCACCTGTCCGAGCACGTGCTTCTCTCTCCCTCCCTCCTGCGCCCCACACCCCTCATCCCCAACACCGATCCTGCAGATGACCTCAGCGAGGATCGCGGCAGTGAGGCCGACTCCGACGCCCGCAGCCTGGGCGAGCCCCTGGTAAAGCGGGAGCGCAGCGACCCAAACCACTCCCTGCAGGGCATCTAGGTCCGGGGTGCCTCCCGCAGGCTCCAGCCCGGGCCTCTGGGCTCTACTGTAATAGTGCCTCTTAGATGGTGGGACCTTTGCTCTGACTCACGGGGGCTCCAGTTCACGCTCAAGGGACATGCCATTCCTCCGAAGAAAATCGTCGTTACCCACAACAGAAGGTCACATCGGGCTCCTGAGTGCCTGAGCTGCTCACCTCGTGCCTCCTGGGTCATCTTTTCCTTCTGAGTGTTCTTACCCTCTCCTCTGCCTGGCCGTGAACTTCGGTCCAAGTCTCCACATCCCGCCTGAGACCTGGAAGGGGCCGTGCTGGGCGAGCCGGCACCTCCACATTGGGCTTCTCAGTTCAGCCTCTTCCAGTTTCCACCATTCTTTTTAAAAATTTGGATCCCAGGAGGGAAGGGGTGTCCTGCAGCTGCTGGGCAGTACTGAGCGGACTGGTATCCACAGAGGCCCCTGCCCTGGTGCCCCGTGGTGGGAAGGGACCACCTCCATGCTGTGCCCAGGGCCTCCTGCCCTGCCGGCTGGGCCGAGGCGTGGAAGCCGGCCCCCAGGAGCCCCATCTGCAGACACCAGAGGTCCCCAGAAGCAGCTGTCAATCACCATGGCCCCATGTGGCCCGAAGAACAAGTCATGGAAGTGGCCCGCCCATGCCAAGACATAGTGGTGTCTTCAAGAATCAAAACCAGAAGTTTTATCGGCAACTGGGAGGATCTGGGTTCTGTCCAAGTTCACGCCAACATCAAGCCAAACTGCTGGGTCTGGAATGAGTTTGTTCCGAGGGGGCTGGATGGTCGATGTTTCAGTGGTGCCTTCAGAGGGCAGCCATCGGGCCAAGTCTGCCTGGCTCCCGCTCCAGAATCTTCTGGAATGCCTGCTCTGGAATTAGCAATCCTGGAGCACTTCGACCCAGCATGAGTCCCATCTTGAACTGCTCAAAGTCGAAACTCTTCGCTGGGTGACATGAACCCCGAGGACTCGCACAGCCCTTGAGCTGTGAACACTCCGGATCTGTATCCGCCATAACACATTGCACTTGGTTAGCTCCGCGCAAGAGTCCCGCCCCCAAACCAACTGCAAAAAAGAAAGACAAACCTCTGGTCTGGGAAGCACCATCGTATGAAATGCAATAGTTCTCTTTTTGGAAATATGTTTATATCAATAGTTTTGTGCTCTAATTGTTACTAGAATGTTTCTTATGAACATGTATATTGCGGTATATTCGGTCCCCCATATTTTTTTTTCATTCATGCAGAAGGTACTAATGTAAACTCACGTGGCCTTGAGAAAAACCTTACTTCCCGACAAGCCGCGCACTCCTAGGTCCACCCCAGGTGTGCAGAGCGGTGTGGAGGGCAAAGACAGGAAAGGCTAGGCGCTTGTTTTAGAAACCAAGTCTATCATAATCACAATGTTTGTCTGGTTTTACAGTTTGAGACTTAGATGAAATCAGACAGAAAGAATGTCTTTAAAATATATATCTCCCCTCCCGGGAGACATTTAAGCTCACGATTTGTGGGTTGTGATGGCCTGTCTTCTTCCATGTGGGGTGAGCAGTACAAACTGGGTTCCCGCCTTATGCTCCTGCCTTTGCAGGATTCCACGAGGAACAACACAAGTGACGGTAAAGACATGCGTCTTCCAAGACCGTTGTCGTTTTTCGGCGATCCACATTCCAGCCCTTCCCCGCCATACACGGGTGCACGCGCGCATACACACACACGCGTGCACGCGTGCGTGCACACACAGTGGCCCTGGAGAATACAGGCCTCCCTCCAGGCCCGTCCCCTGCCCTGGACTGCCAACCTGTCCGGGCTCCTGCCATGCGAGGCTCCGAGGAGAAGCAGCGGCCTCCAGCACTTTCTTCTTGGCTCTCTGGGGAGTGTTCCAGAAGGAGCGGATTCCCTGAGTTTCGTTTAGCAAGGCCAGCTCTGGGCCAGAGATGGCAAGAAAGCAATGGTCAGCCCTGGAAGATCAGGACTATTTGGGAGTGGACTAGACTTACCCAGATACAGCAGAACAAAGCCCCGGCCCCAGGCACCGATGAAACCCTCTGGTTGTCCCCAGGACTTACTCGGCAGAGGGTTGGGGGCCAAACTTGGGAATCCCCTAAGAATCACTACATGAGCTTGTGTGAACGTGGCCAGTGCCTGGTGGGATTATCATGGGGGCTGGAAATCCGCGTTGTCTGGACCACCCCTGGCAGAGGGGAGGGGATCCGACACAGAGTTATAGGACTTTGAAGAACCCCTGCAGAGGAGACCCAGCAGGCTCGGGAACGAGGGAAGGCCCACCGATGGGAAGATGTTCCAGAAACACGGGACACCATTCCTGGTCAGTCACCCCTAAAAGTTGCTCTTCTGTGCCAGGCAGGTGTCCCACGTCCCGCAGAGATGCTCAGCCTTGGCCCCCGCCCAGGCCCATCTATCCCCAATAGAGGTCCTGGGACCCCTGGGTGGCGCTAAAATCATCTGCCTCCCTGGGCTGGGACCTCCGGGGACCTGCACGTGGCTCAATGCTCTGCCGTCACCATCTTAAGATTCTCAATAGTTTTTGAAGAAAGGGCCCACGCTTTCGTTCTGCGCTGGGCCCCAGGACAAATTTTGCGGCCAGTCTTGGGAAACTCCCAGGACATGACCATGCAGACTCCCCTTCAGCTGGGCGGCTGGGCCCTGTCCCTGTGGTGAGTCTCTACCAGGCTCTCAGAACCCAGCAGAACCCCGACTCGCCCCATCCTCTTGTCGTTCATGACCGCAGTCCCTCTGCAGCCTGACATCCCTGAGCACGGCCAGCCCTTGCACCAAGCAGCAGCCACCCCCAGCCCTCCCTGTCTGAGAGCCAGGCCCGGTGCTGGGGTGGCAGGGTGCCTGGAGGAGGAGAGCCAGGCCCTGCTTCTGGGCCTGCGTAGCTGGTGACAGAATGAGCCCAGGTGATGTCTCCATGACCACTGCCCCAGGAACGAGAGAGGAGATGAGCAGGGGAGACTGCCGAAGGCCCACAGTCTATCAAGTCCCCTAGAAAGCCCACAGAGTAGGGACCCAGAGCACAGAGCCAAACAACAAAGGGAACCTAGTCCTACCAAGAGCCTCTGGGAGGTTCTAACTAATCACAACAACTCCATACTAGACGCTTCTATCCAATCTCCTCTTTTTGACAGTAGGTGTTCCCTCATTGTACACATGGGAAAATTGAAGCTGCTGGCTGGAATGCAGATAGGATGGCTGGAGCATCAGCAGCCATTTTTAGACCTTGAGGTGGGTCTCCTACAATAAGGCAGGCAAAGCAATGAGACAGAAGGAACCTGGATCCCTGGTGATCGTGGAGCTGCATTACAATCCTGACAACCCACAGCCAAGAGTTCCATAAGCTGCACTGGGGAGGGGGGAGAGGGGGGCAGGGGAACCCACAGCTGTTCCTGCCTCTGGGAACTCTCTGGAAGCAAGCACTCTGAAGCAAGCTGTGAGGTGCACCCCCTGCCCATACACACACGCTCCAGCTGTGGGTGTGCTAAGAAGGGAGAGACTCTCCCTGGCTGAGGACATCATCCCCTCCACCACTTTTCCTCCTACAGCTCTGGCTGCTGCCCGTCTTCTCCCGGGTCCCATTCCAGAAGTTCATCCTTCCACACCTTCTGTGACCTTGTCCAAACCCAAATGAAAATGCTCCACCACGTGCTGCTGACTTGCCCCCCAGCAGCCCAGCCCGCCACTGCTCAGAGGTGTGTGGCAAAACGGGAGCTCAGCGTCCGACCTTTCAGGCCGCCTCCTCTTGTCTCCTCTTGTCTCTTGTCTCCATCACGGCGCTGCCCACCATCCATCCAACCATCCAGACCAGAAACCCAGGGCCACCTGCATTGCCCCCACCCTTCCTAACCTCCCCAAAATGCCCATAACATGGTCACTCTCTCCTTCCTCCTTTCCACTCCCCAACTCCTGGCCGGGAAGGCAGCATGGCGGGGGAAATAGGGCTAGGCTATGCGAATTTGAGTGCCAACTCCATGGTCCCGGGCTATGCCCTCAGGTAAATTACAACTGACCCTTGAACAACATGGGGTTAAAGGCACCAACCCTCCTTGCAGCCAAAAATTGCACATATAACTTTTGACCCCCCAAAAAACTTAATAGCCTACTGTTGACTGGAAACCTTACCAATAAATAGTCAATTAACCCCTGTTTGTTTTGTTGTATGTATTATCTACGGTATCCTCTAAGCAAGCCAGAGAAAAGAAAATACTAAGGAAATCGTAAGGAAGAGAAAGGGCATTTACAGCACTATACTGTATTTATTGATATAAATCTGCATATAAGTGGACCCATGCAGCCTGAACCCATCGTGTTCAAGGGTCAGCTGTACTTTTTTTTTTTTTTTAACTAAACAAATCTTTTATTTACTACTTTAGTGGGGAGGGTGCACCCTTCCTGGAGGTACTGCAATACCAGGTCTATGCGTGGAGTGGACGGAGCAAGCTCCTATTCCAACTCCCTCCTCCAAAAATCTATTTAATATATTGTCCTCGGATAGATGACATATCAGATATTAAACTGATAAGAACAGATACTGGGTCAGTTGTACTTAAATCAGATTCTCCACCTCTACCTCACAGCCTTGTGAGCTTTAAATAAGTTAATACTTAGCACTGGAGTAAGTACTCAGTTGTGTCTCAGCCTCAGCACTGTGGACACTTGGGACCAGACCATTCTTACTGGTGGGGCATCCTGTGCACTGTGGAATGTGTGGCTGCCTCCCCGGCCTCACCCCTCCCTGCCAAGCACCTCCCCCCTCCAGTCACGACAACCACAGATGTCTCCAGACAGCACCCAGTGGCCCCTGGAGGGGGTGGGGCAGCAGAAGGGACCCCGGGTGAGAACCACTGGGTGAGAGCACTGTCATGATGACCAGTTCCCTGCATCTTTTGAACCTTGGCAACCACATCAGTTATCACCTTTCTTCCCCCCTCAATGCTCTTATTTCTCGCTCCTGGAACTCAGGAGCAGTCTTATCTGGGGCTCTTTCCCCTTCCCTGGACTTCCCACCTAACCCCCATGCCTTCACACACACACGCCTGCCTCTTTAGCACGTCTCTTGACGCCTCCTCCAGGAAGCCTTCCTGGAAGCTCTTCCACTAGATTAGGATCCTTTATATGCCACCTTTCCCATAAGCACTGTGGGTGCATAGCTCTTGTCTGCCTTGCTCGATACCGTATTTCCCCAAATCTAACACAGTGTATATGTAGGCTCAGCAAACATTTAGTGACTGAGTAAAGGTTTCTGGGAGAAGGTGCTATTCATGGTAATCATGGGAATGTACGGGAAAGGAGAAGAGAAAACGTATGGAGGAACACCCAGGCATGGCCAAAGGAAAGAAAAATCCATTCAGGAGGGCACCACAAGAATTATTTTTTTCTAATCAGAACTGGGCTTTAGAAGAATTTTTCTGGTACAGTGGATTATACATAAGCCAGAAGCAAGGCCAGTTAGGTACTTGATAAGATGGTGTAAGTGAGGGGTAGGGAGTGGGGGTAGTGGAGATGGGGTAGGGGAGACAGAGCTGGGGAGGGGAGCAGGCAGGAGCAAGAGGTCCACTACAGCCCCGTGCCCAACAGCAGATTGAGTGGGTTATGAAATCAAGTTGGTGGGTTATGACCAGTTCAGTTTTTTGTTTTGTTTTAAGATTTTGTTTATTTGAGAGAGAGAGACACAGCTAGAGAGGGAACACAGCAGACAGAGTGGGAGAGGGAGAAGCAGGCCTACTGCGGAGCAGGGAGCCCGATGCGAGGCTTACTCCCAGGACCCTGGGATCATGACCTGAGCTGAAGGCAGACGTTTAACGACTGAGCAACCCAGGCACCCCAGGTTCAGTTGTTTTTTTTTTTTTTTTTTTTTAATGGACCACAATAAAAGTAGAAAACATGAGAAGTATGGATGAGATAAACTTAACTTTGTAAAGTTGTTTCAGTATAATAGGTGCACATACATACACAAGAGGGCATCAGGCTGCCATGTGAGCCTAATGTACAATGTACTGGATATAGGAAATGGACTGACTACATGTACGTATCAAAAGCTGCGAGTACTAACCGGTAATTCTCAGCCTATTTTGAGGTCATGGGTCTCTTCCAGACTCCTCTGTGATAGATGTTGGTGGGGTTTTGCCATCCAGCATCCATTCCACCTTCTTTTGGAATAACACCCTGATTCCCTTTTGAGGAATGACTTTTCTTCCATGGATTTAAATACCACCTCTACGTGGGCACTGGAAGGAATGGGCTTGGCACAGTGGGGAGTGATAAGGTGAGTAAAGGAGGGAGGGAGGGAGACTGGAGGGCTTTCTAGGTTCTAGCCAGCACTTAGGGCTTCATTCCAGGAGTGAGAGGCCCATGACCTCAAAATAGGTTGAGATCTCCCCTCCATCGGCTCTCAGATGTATGACTGCCCACCCAACACCTCCACTTGGATATCTCGAGTGACAAATGGCATCTCAGCCCAGCAGCTGCACCTGGAGGCATTCGCTCAAGGGTTGATGATAAGTAGTTGGAGGCATGAGCTGGCTAGAGTCATAAACTGGATGGATGGGGAAAGCAGCGTGGGGGGCGCTGGGTAGCAGTGCCCCACCATGCTGGACCCAACCAACACTTTCTCCTAGAAGTCTGAATTGTGAGCTGAATGTGAGACTGAAAGCAACAGAAGTGTGGGGGCTCTCCGAGAGGTGTCCCACCCGTTCTGCTGAACTGGCTGCCAAGACCCCCGGCGCCCATGCAGTTTCTTCTTTTCCCCTTGACCTTAGGAGCATCTTTATAACTTTCCAGCAACTTCTCCCATTGCTTACATTTGCCAGAACTGTTCTGGGGGTTTTGCAACCTGTGTCCAAATCAACACACCCTCAGTACCCAGGAATTTTGCAGGCGGACTCAGGAGGGATTCTCCGACCTCCCTAGGTCCTCCCAGATGGAGGGGCGCCGTGTAAGAGGCGGCTGGGAGTGTAATCCGCAGATCGCAAGCACAGCGCAACCAAGACAGGATCTGTCTCTGCTGGTGCAGGCAGCACCTACCTGACCTGGTTCATGGAAGATGCCAGACCCCCAGTTGAGACCCCTCCCCAACTGACACAGAGCCTTTGAGTGCCCAACATGTTCAGTTACTTGGAAGGAATTGAATGGCTTCCCAATCCTCTGCCGCCCCCCAGTGGTCACTGTGTGACATGGCCGCTTCCTTTTCCCCAGGGGGACACAGAGAGCTGGATTTTTGCCCAGACAGGAGGCAGGTTTTTTTTTTTTTTTACTAAATTGCAACAGTGCGAGATAGGAAAGGCCACAAGCAACAGATTGAATGAGCTAGCTTCCTTCTTTCCCTCCTCTGCCTCCCCTTCTCTTCCTCAAATAGTCCTATTTATTTACATAGATTCAGAGTATCTCCCCATGAGATACTCAGTAATTACACTGGGCAAAGTAGGAACCTGGCAGAGGCTATATCTAAACCAAGTGATCCGAATTGTCATCACACATGGTACAAATCGACACCATATGCCTCCTGATGGGACGCACCTAGCTTGACACATCACTCCTGCATTATTCCTGCCAAAAATTGGTAACCTGAGTTTAATCATGAGGAAACGTGAGTCAAACCCAAAATTAAGGGACATTCTTCCATATACCAGGGTGATGGTCAAGAAAAAATTAAGACCAAGAAGCTGATCCAGACCGAAGGAGACTAAGGAGAAATGACATCTGAGAGCAACGTGGGATCCTGCACTGGATCCTGGGACAGGGAAAGAAATCAATAGTGAGGAATGGTTGGATTTTTTTTTTTTTTTAAGATTTTGTTTATTTGACAGAGATCACAAGTAGACAGGCAGGCACGGGGGTGAAGGGAAGCAGGCTCCCGGCTGAGCAGAGAGCCTGATGCGGGGCTTGATTCCAGGACCCTGAGATCATGACCTGAGCGAAGGCAGAGGCTTAACCCACTGAGCCACCCAGGCGCCCCTGGAATGGTTGAAATTTAGATAAGATCTGTGTATTAATGAATGGTATTACATCAATGTGAATTTCTTAGTTTTGGTCATTGCACTGTGGTTTTATGTAAGATGTAATATTTAGGGAAGCTTGATGAAGACTCACATAGGAAAGATGTTAGGGTTTGAAGCCGATGGCCAAGAAAGAACTCTTGAGATGTCTTTAGTGCAAAAAAGGTGGTTTTATTAAAGCACAGGGGCAGGACCCAAGGGCAGAAAGAGCTGCACTGGGGTCATGAATGACTCATTATAACTTCCAAGCTGGGAGATGGTTAGGGATAGCCTAAGTCTCTAAGGAATTCTGGAAGCAAGGTTTTCAGGACCTTGAGGGGGTA